TGTGTGTGTGTGTGTGTGTGTGTGTGTGTGTGTGTGTGTTTATTTAATTTTAAGACAGGATCTCACTGAGTTTTCTAGCCTTGAACTCCTGCCTCAGCCTCTCATGTAATTGGAATTTCAGGCCCACGCCACCAGACTCAGCTCAATAGGACATTTTCAGACACTTCTTCAGAGATGGGAGTGTAGCTCAGTGGTGGGGTGCTTGGTTACAGTGCAGGAGGCAAACACAAGCCAACAAACAACACACACCCACACTCACACACACACACATACTCACACACATACACAAGCCAACAAACAACACACACCCACACTCACACACACACACATACTCACACACATACACAAGCCAACAAACAACACACACCCACACTCACACACACACACACACTCACACACATACACAAGCCAACAAACAACACACACCCACACTCACACACACACACACATACACACATTCACAAGCCAACAAACAACACACACACACACTCACACACATATACAAGCCAACAAACAACATACACCCACACTCACACACACACACACACTCACACACATATATAAGCCAACAAACAACATACACCCACACTCACACACACACATACTCACACACATATACGCTCACACGTACACACACAGCCATATAGACACACATATGCATACTCACACATACATAAGACATACAGTCTCACACACACACACACACACACACACACACACACATACTTACATGAACACAGACACACTCACACACACACACCACCCAAACATAAAAATAATTTCTGATTTAGACATATGTAAGCCAAAAGGCCCACACCAGTGGATAATATGTGTGTTTAAAAGATTGCAGCATGTTCTCCTAGCATGCCTGAGTCCCTGGATTCAGTCCCCAGCACTGTATAAGGTACATAGCTAATGCCTAGTGCTTTGGAGACTCTAAAGACCCCAAGTTAAAGGTCATCTTTGGCTACTAGTGAGCTTGAATTCCAAGCTAGCTTGGACTACAGGAAACCCTGTCTCAAAATAAACAAAAGCAAAGAGATGAGGGACAAGCCAAGCTTTTGAAAATCAGAATGTGAGAGTTTCGGGGAACAGCAGAAGAGACACTCAACTACAGCTTCAAGGTTATAGGGACAGTGTCTACAAGTGCCCTTAATTCCTGACACCAATTACAAGATTCACCACCCTCAACTTTGATAGTTCCTCAAAAAGACTATTAATGGTATCCCGCCCATGGCTACAGTTTATTCCAGGGACAACACAGAGCAAGTTCATCTGCAGAGCACAAAACCTGGCTGATACCAAACACAGAGCATCCTATGACCTCTCCCTTTGGAGGCCACATCTGTGTGTGTGTGTCACACACCGGCAGGGAAACCCAGAGGAGCCTAGGCATCAGAATCTTAACTGCAGACTTACAACACAGATGTGGTTGGAGCCCGGCCCCGTGGCCAGCCCCTCCTAAGGTACAGCCCCTGAGCCAGGGGCCCCAGCCACAAGCCTGATGAAGTCTCTCAGACTTCGCCTTGTGTTCCTGGCTGGCTCACAGCCTCCAGGCAGACAAAGCTACTCCTAGCAGGCCTGATGTTCCCAAGGGCATAGACATTATTTCCCAGAAGCCTAGGGCAAAGGGCAGAGATCTCCAGGGTCGAGTTTAAATACATGGCTACCTGTGTTACACAAAGGATCAGCTTTTCTGTCCTGTATGCCCTCTCCCAGGAGAGGCATAGTCCTGTCTTCTAAGTAGATGTAAGAAGGGAAAAGCCATCTCCAGCCCTACCCACAAGCCCACTGTATGCTTGGAGATTCCCTGCCCTGAGCTTCCTCCAGGCAAGAAATGTCTTTCTGAAGTTTGGTCTTACTAATGTCCACTCTGTGGCCGCCATATCTGTGGATGAGACAAAGCTGGTCTGGGAGGAGTAAGGAGTGACTGCAGCTTGACTTGGTGAATAAGAAGAGACATGGAGATATGGGCTGAGTGGCTCTCAGGGGAAATGGGGGCAAGTGGGATCTCAAAGGCACGGGAATCAAAACTTAAAATGTAACGTTGGCTCTCACATTTATGCCTGCAGAAGCAAGAGGACACACTCGCCCATTGTTCCTTAGATGTTGTCCTTCTTGATTTTAGGGACAGTCTCCCTGGCCTGAAATTCACCACCACACCCCAGGGATCCACGCTTCTCTTCCTCCCCAGTGCTGGGATCCCAAGCACATGCCACCTCATCCTACTTTTTGTAAGCATGAGCTCTGGGGATCAAACAAGTCCTGGTACTTTCAAGGTGGGCACTGTACCAATGAGCTCCTCCCTCTGCCCCGTGATTCTGGTTTTATACCAAAATACAATGCATGTAATGATCTTCAGAAGTTATCCATGCAATATGAGCCATCTTATGAGCATTCTGTACCAAAAGAGGCTGAGAACTGAGGTCCCAGAGAGCACGCTGGTCTTGCCATGGCTGTGTTAGTACTGTGAAGTTGAAATGGTGGCATCTGAAATGCTTGGATCAGCTTTGTATTTTTATAACCATCTGGACATTTTCATCTGGGTGGCTTGCTTGGGTCCTCATTGTAGAGACCTCTTAAATAAAGGTAGTAAAGAGTCAGATTTACTGGTGCACAGTGCAAGCTTTATGGGAAGGGAAACACTGTATGACTCTAAGAAGTTCAAGGGCTCCTGTGAGGAAGCACATAGCTTCCTCTTTGAAACCTGACTGGATGGAAGCTCTGGGATAGGAGATTGGTAACAAAATTGATAATGTTGCAGCATCCTAAGCATTAAAATAAATCTCTGCAATAAGAAGTCAACCTGTGTAACCATGCTCAAGGGGCTGGGCTGTACAAAGGCTTCATACGGCAACCTTCGAACTCTCCCTCCTGGTTCAGGTTGGGTTCCAGTTCTCTTTCCAAAACTTCAATGTCCTTACAAAGTAGTCATCTTGTGCCTGGGGAAACAGCTCAGTCTGTAAACTGGTTACTCTGCTTGTGTGAGGATCTGTGTTCTCACCTCAGAACCCTTGTAAAACAGCCAGGCTCAAGGTGGTGTGATTTTAATCCCAGTGCTGGGGGTAAAGACACAGAATCCCTGAGACTTCATGACCAGCCATCTAACCTACTTGAAGAACTCCAGTCCCATGAGAGACTCTGTCTCAAAAACCAAGGTGGATGGCTCCTGAGGAATGACTCTTCTGGGTGTCCTTTGTCGTACACACACACACACACACACACCACACACACTCACAAACACACACACACACACACACACACACACACACACACACACACACACACG